TCTCTTCCCCAGACCACGGCAGTAGCCTCCCAGCCTGTCCGTCTCCATCCTGGCAATCTTTGGTCTGACTCCCAACACAGCCACGAGATGGCCCCTTTAAAAGGTAAGTCAGATCAGCTCCTCTTGCTCAAACCCTCCGAGGCTTCCCGTGGAAACAGAGTGAAGGGTTGTGAGTTGACGGTGGCCTTCGAGGCCCTCCATGCTCTGGTCTCCCGTCACCTCCTAACCCCACCACCGCCTGGCCTGCTCCCCAGCACTCACTCCCCGCGGCCAGACTCCTCCTCGGAGCCCGCAGGCGCTCGTCCACCCAGCGGCTCTGCACGTCCGGTTCCCTCCGCCTGGCCTCCCTCCACGGCCTGAGTGCTGTGTCCCCACCGAGACTGGATAGTCAGCAAACATTTGATGAATGAATGAATGAATGAATTGAGTGAGTGAATATTTAGATTCAGTGGTGGTTGAAGGTCTCATTTTAAGAGTAAGGATTCCAACCACTAAGTCTTCTGAGAAGCAGCAGGCGTTCGCCACAATTCCCTCGACGGAGGGCAAGTGCTTGTAGCACGAGACAAATCTGCAAGGAGAGGCGACTGGGCCTGGCATGCAGCGTGGGATGCAGGCAGCTGAGGGGCTGGGCGCGGACTGCTGGGCGATTTTGTCCCCAGTCGTCCCCTAGTTTTACGTGGGCGCATGACCACCCACGCGGTCGCTCTCCCTGCAGCTCCACGTGGCCAAAGGCTAAATTCCGATCAATGAACGTGAGCAGAAGGCACAGGCAATTTCCAGAATGCCAGAGGCTGGGGCCACCGGGTTGTCCAGGTGTGTGTCCAGGATGGCAGAGCCGCCCGCGGACCGCCTCTCTGGACTGCATGGGGAGAGAAATAAGCTTTGTTCTCATCTCTCGTTTGAACCAGTCTGCCCTGTGGTCCTTGTTCTCACACTTAAACCTACAGCCTGACCAAGTCTAGCCATACCGAGCTGGGGACAGTCTTTTGATGCTGGCGGTTGATAAAGAAGGGGGGTCACCAAGGGGGAAGTCATCGGGTAGGAAAGTGGACATGGTCCCCGAGTGTGCCGAGCGCTGTTTTTACCAAGCACACGTGTTTTCGGAACAACCGAGAGACTGTGGTCTTTATGTCGGCAGAAGATAAAAAGAGGCAATAAACTGAAATCTGGGGGAAGACAGCCTCACAGGAGTTTCAGCACAAGATTTCCCTCTCCTAATTTTCTTGACTCGCCTCAGGTTTTGCATGAGAAAGACCCTCAGCACGGAGAACAAGGGGACTGAAAGCCGGGACCAGTGTATTTGTAAGTTTTTCCCTTCGCCCCACAGCCCACGTGATTCACTGCAATGCTTGTCCGTTTCCAAATTTTTTCAGTCTGAAAATTGAAAATCCTATGTATCTTATTTCCTGGTCTGGCCATCATAATCTAGAAGATTATCTTCCCTGTTCTCAAAAAAGCATTGCTTTGAAACGGTCCCCTCCGAGAGCTGACTTACACGTGAAGACGCGCTCTCACACCTCCCTGGCTGGGCAGAGCATTTCCATACAGAAGTGATCTTGCCCTACAGCAGCGCAGGGGCGCGGCGGGGGCTTGAAAATCACGGAATCAAAGGAAAATGATCCAATATTTCAAACAAAATCGTGTCTCGCCTATTTCTGCTCCATTACAAGAGGGTAAGTTAGATCCAGTCTTCCCAAGGCCGCTGCCTCAGATGTGGAACTCTGTAAGTGCCCGAATGTCTTCTATTTTATTATATACACAAAGGAGCTCTTTAACGCAGCTACTGTCTGTGGCACGGAAGTCATATCTCGATTTTCCTTTTCAACTAAAACCGCTCTAAACTGGAACGCTATCCCACTGCTGAAGAGTTTATCTCACCAGTATTCCCCACAGATGAATAGGCAATACACGTTATCTTTTTCTTTTTTTCTTAAAGAAACTATTCATTGACTACATTACCGAAATAGTCCACTTGTCTCATGTTAGTTGCATATTTTTCTGTTTTTTAATATCTGCAAAATACTTTTTCAATCGAAACAAAGCTGCAGAGTAAGTGTTTTCTCTAAAATTGAAAAGCAAGCTCTTTGTAATTATACGTCGCCTTTTTCCCCCTCTTTGTTAAGCTTTGAAGAAATTTAATTGATTAGTGATTTTAGAAAGTAAACTTTCTGCAATGTAATTACTTTTTTAATGTGATGCTTTTTTTTTTACTTTTTTTGAGGGTGGAGGTAATTAGGTTTGTTTATTTATTTGTTTCATGGAGGCACTGGGGATTGAACCCGGGACCTCCTGCATGCTAGGCATGCACTCTACCACTGCGCTACATCCTCCCGCCTTATAATTACTTTTTGACAGTTTATCCATGAGCAGACCATCTTAAGGTCTCACTATTTACTCCATAAAAACCAGTCTAAAGTAAAAGTTAACAAAGCAAAAAAAAAAAGTCTTGCAAATCTAAGACCAAGTTTATAAGACAGATGGCAAATTTATCCTTAGAAATAACTAGTTTTCTGCCCAAACTCTGATGATTATGACTTCTGCAGTCCTCAAATACATCAGTACAGGAAGGAACATGATCAGTGAAAGCTGGCTGGCTGTAAAAACCTGGCGTAAAGTCTCAATGTTTTCATATTCATTCAACAAATTCTTATTGAGAATCTGCTATGTGCTAGCAATAAGCCTGTCTCTGTTCTCATGAAATTAACAATCAAATGGGACATCCAATGAATAAGCAGGCATACAGGATACAAGGGTCCTGCATCAAATTCTTTTCTTTGGGGGAAAGCCTGGGGTATCGTGGGAGTGCATCAGAGGGTAGCTTGATGGAGATGTTGGGAAGATTTACAAAAGGAATGACATCTAAATGGATTCCTGAAGAAGAATTTATACAAATTTTCCAAACTAAAAGTAAAAATTACTTTTATTGCTCTGGGCAGAGGAAACAACGTGTCCAAAACCTGGGGCACAAGAAAGAGCAAGTTCCAGGGGCTGAAAAATATTCAGGGTGGCTGGGGTGTGGACCATGAGCATATGGTAGCAAGGAACGACATTAAAGAAGCAAGCCGGGGACAGATGATAAAGAACTGAGCACGTCCTGAGCTAGATGGATGGTCATGAGGATGGAGAAACGTGGACTGGTGTGAGAGGTATCTGGGTGGGAGAGGAGATAGAGCTGGGTGCTTGGTTAGACAGAGCGGGGTGAGGGAAGAAGGGAGAATGACTCACAGGTGTCTGGAACACGGGGGAGGAGGGCTGGCAGGGAGATGAGTTTCATTTTGGTTTCGCTGAGTTAAGGTGCATGGAGATGTCTAAGAGAAGACACCCTGTTCCCAGTGGGACACATGGCTCTATAGCTCAGAGACCTGAGAGTCAGGAGTCATCACCAAAGGGACGGTGGCGGATGTAATGAGAGACAAGCTTGCTCGATTTGCTAGCCCGAGAACCAGAGAGGATCCTTTGTCACCCCATCATTTAAAGGCTGGAAAGATGCTGA